TAATTTCAAAGTAGTTCTTATTTTTTACTCTATCTGTTTCTTAGAATAAATCTATTTCATCACCACTCTCAAGCTGGACAATGCGTCTAATAAGTCATCTGAATCACTGGACTCAAAATCGGACATCTGTAATATTTTAAAAAGTTTATTGAAAACGCCGAGTTTTTTTATATTCTATTTTTTATTACCACAAGTAAAAATTCTATATTAATAATACAAGAATTAGGTACTATTTTTTTAAAGGGAACTTCCTGTATAAAATGTGACTATTTTTTACTAACATTAAACTAAAATCTTTAACAAAGTAATTATCAAAAACATAAACCTTACTTATAGGTTAATATTAACAAAATCACGTCATAAATTCCTTGAAAACTAGTTTCTACGAACACCAAATTCTTCTCGTAAAGCTAATATTTTTTATTATCTATTTAGTTTAATTACAGTCCGGAATGACATATTTTCATTATTTATATAATTCAAAGTAACTTACATTATTTATTTTAAAATTTTTAACACATCACAAAAATGACATGATTGATTTATAATTCAAACTGCCGCTTTTTTATCTCCCCTCTCTAAACGGTACATATGGGACACTAGCGCCCTCTTATTTTTGTAAGATTTTTGTTTACATGGACTTTGGGCTCCTTGTCTTAGATAAATGATACTGCTCCTTGTGTAGTCCCCATGTTATGAACAGAAAGACAGCCGAAAATTATTTGGCAAACAAAACCCATAAAAAACATGAGAAGGAAAGAGGAATAAATATTGGCATGAAGCGATGAATCTAGCAAAATATAAAAAAGAAGACAAAATTTGTTTATAAGTAATCTTTACACCCTATGGATACTTACGGTTTTATTGATTGAGGATTTTTATTAATTAAGGGTAATGTATAGATGAAATTGGCTAAAGCAAATTTTTACGTGTCCAATTAGTAGCTACGCGCCATTATTCCATGGCTAGAAATTGGCCTCAATGATTTGGGATCGAGGGGGATTATCACTCTTTATCCTGCCTCATCTTGTGTAGGCCTGGACAGCCTTCGTAGGTGGGCCACATCCGTCGTCTACCCCGACTGCAAATGCGGCCGGTGTAGGCGCTTTGTGGGACCTCCTTTTGTCCTGGCTGGGCCTTGCCGGCTAGGGCCCTTTCTTCTGGCGCTCTTCATGCTTCGCCGGCTCGTCTGTGTAAACCCTGGGGGTGGTGTCATGTTTATGTGTGGTATGGTTGGGTACGCCGCGCCATTATTCTATGGCTAGAAATTGGCCTCAATGATTTGGGATCGAGGGGAATTATCCCTCTTTATCCTGCCTCATCTCGTGTAGGCCTGGACAGCCTTCGTAGGTGGGCCCCATCCGTCGTCTACCCCAACTGCAAATGCGGCCGGTGTAGGCGCTTTGTGGGACCTCCTTTTGTCCTGGCTGGGCCCCGCCGGCTAGGGCCCTTTCTTCTGGCGCTATTCTTGCTTCGCCGGCTCGTCTGTGTAAACCCCGGGGGTAGTGTCATGTTTATGTGTGGTATGGTTGGGTAGGGTAGTGCGGCTATGCAGCCTGGGATGCGCTTTGCTAAGGTGGCCCTTAGGC